AAATAAAATAATAGCAGAGCAATAATTTTTTTTTAATTGCCGAAAAAATGTGTTTTTTTTGCAGAAAAATGTAATTAATTAATTTCAAATACGGTGGTGGAATAACATGGTTGCCTAAGCACTAGATCTATCTTAACTTTAGTTTTCAATTTTCATACATTAAGTTTTTAAACTGTGCAAACAAATGTAATGGGTAAAAAGGGTTAATGGTAATTTCTGGGTTCAATACTGTGTACATCTGTATTTAAAATTGTATTGATTAATTTTCACAACATTATTGCACGCTGTACTCAAAATTTGTATAATTGTTAGTCTTAAAAAGTTTTGGTAATGTATTGACCAAGAAGAAGTATCGATATCAAATTAAAATCAGGAAACTGTCGGGCTTAAAATGTTTTAGAAATGTATATTATGGAAATTTAGTGCATTATAATAAAATAGACTTGCATTGTCAAACAATATGTTAAAACAACAAGGCAATATCAATAAATTGAATTATTTCGGACTTTTAATAGTTTTTGTTTATAATTTGTAGTCCTTTATGGTGCTAAATTATTGGTAGGTTTTGAATTTAACTGTTTCAGTGTAACCTATACATTTTACAACAATAGTGTGAAAAATATTATTCACTTTGATGCAAAACTTCAATAAATAAGTTGCTAAAACAGTAAAAAAAGTTTGGCTGTATTAAACTAGGTTAGGTATAAAACCAAAAATAATTGTGTTTTGCTTATACGTTTTATTCGTAACAATAGTACACGAAATGTTATTATCAAACAATGAACACACAATAGCACTTCATAAACAATGAACAATGTATACTCCCCCCAACTACCAAATAAGACATACATTTTCAAATTTTATGCATCACATATTCTTCTATATAACATAAGCAGCAAGCGTACTGTTGCTCTAGTATAGTATTCTACATCTTTGGTATACTTTACTTAAACTGTAAATCCAATAGTTCATATTTCATTTGGCGTTTTAAATTTTGTACCTTTAGTATACCATTTAATAATATCGACTTGAAAAATGAAGTTAAATAGCATATATTTGTTTTTAACAACATTGTTTTGCGTTATAATTTTAGCGTATGCAGGTATATAAAAAACATGTTTAGTATATCATTTTTTATAATTTTTTTTTTTTGTATACAAAATTATATTAAATATTTCAAATAGTATATTATTAATATACTATTTAGTATATTAACTACCTGAAAAATTAACTTCAAAAGTATAACTTTTATTGTCACTTTTTTGTCTTGCATTATGATGTCAGCGTATGCGGGTAAATATTTCGATATATTATTGTGGTCGTTTTCATCTGTTATTTCAACTTTTCTATGAATTTTACCTCATATTTTACCTTTTTTTTACCTCATTTCATTTTATTTTTCTAAGCGTTTTTATGGAGATCCTAATTTAAAACTATGAACACATTGTGTAGAATTTTCTCAGCTTTCTGAATAAAAATATTAGAAAAATCCTCAATATTCGGGTAATACGAAAAATACAACTTTTGTATTATAAACTAAATTTTAACGACTTTCCGATACGCGAAAAAAAAATTAACATTGTTTTCAGAAAGCTGATATTGTTTTACATTAAAATCTGAGTTGTTATAACTTTTTTTTTAATGGCCGAAGATACTATAAAAAAATGATAAAAACTAAATATACTTTAACGACCAAGACCAAAAAAATCCAAAAAAAAATTAATGAACATTTTTTTTTTAAATACATAATTAGCATAAATTCATATTGTATATATACCTACCATATTTTAACTATACATTTGTTTCTAAAGAAATGCCAATTTCTGATTCATCATAACCTTCCGATTTATCTCATATGAAAATTTATATCAATTACAACACACGAAAGCAAACAAAAATTGACAATTTTCTGCATTTTTTTGTAGTTGAATTGACGTGTATTTTTTGCAAACTTTATATTTATTTTATGAATGTAGAAAAATATCTACCTAAAAATCCTTTCAAAACGAATATATCACACCCCCGCTTAAAAAGTGACACAAATGAAAAAAATGCAATTTTCTAATAGAGTTATTAAAAAACTACAACATAATATAATACCAAAAGTGACGTGCACCATCTATTGGTGAAAAATAAAGATAGACTTATGACGTTCTTACGCAATAATGATATGATATTTATTTAAAATATATGCTATATCAACCTCGAATATCATGTTTTTTGTGTTGTGTCACTTTTTAAGCGGGGGTGCGATAAATTTAAATAACTGTGTACTTAGCCCTAGAACAATGAGCCATATGATGCATTGGGATAGAAAAAATATTTAAATAATTTTGTTTTCGATATTTCAGAACCTGGTCCTGACAGTAAGACTTTGACACTGCTACAACTTATATAAATTTAAAAAGTGTAGTTCAATATACATTTTTATCATTTGTTTTTCAAATGACTGTAAGTTGGATGATAATATCAGTTTTTGTGCTATGCAAAGATACTAGCAGTTTTAAAATTATTTTCAAAAAAGCTGAAAATGTGTATAAAATGTTACTAATGCATTACATTGTTGATAATAAAAATACATTTATCATGTTCATAAGCATATAATTATATAATACTATATCTAGTTGAAATATTGTTTACAAAATATAATTTAAGGCTAATAAATTTAAACACATTAGATCAACAACTAAAAATTATTGTACCAGTATAGATACTTTAAAATTAAAAATTAAATTGGAAAAATAATTATTTGAGTTATTTTTTTGGTGTTTCAGCACCACCACCACCACCACCAGAATCACAACCACCTGGTAAGTTTTTGAGACATTAAAATAAATTTATATAGAATATATAAGTGTAATTCAATATGCTATTTTATCATTCGTTTTTCAAATTACTGATACTAAAACCCCACCATTCTTTATGATACACCCTGTATAATATTATATCTAGTTGAAATATTGTTTAAAAAATATAATTTGCGGCTATCAAATTTAAACGCTTTAAATCAACAACTAAAAATTATTATACCAGTATAGATACTTTAAAATTAAAAGTTAAATTGGAAAAACAATTATTTGAGTTATTTTTTTGGTGTTTCAGCACCACCACCACCACCACCAGAACCACAACCACCTGGTAAGTTTTTGAGACATTAAAATAAATTTATATAGAATATATAAGTGTAATTCAATATGCTATTTTATCATTCGTTTTTCAAATTACTGATACTAAAACCCCACCATTCTTTATGATACACCCTGTATAATATTATATCTAGTTGAAATATTGTTTAAAAAATATAATTTGCGGCTATCAAATTTAAACGCTTTAAATCAACAACTAAAAATTATTATACCAGTATAGATACTTCAAAATAAAAAAATTATTAAAAAAACAATTATTTGAGCTATTTGTTTGGTGTTTCAGCACAACCAGCAGCACCACAACCGCCTGGTAGGTTTTTGAGACTTTAATACAACTTATATAGGTTATAGAAGTGTAATTCAATATGCTATTTTATCATTCGTTTTCAATTGACTGAAAGTTGGATGATAATATCAGTTTTTGTGCTTTGCAAAGATACTAACAGTTTTAAAATTATTTTCAATAAAGCTAAAAATGTGTATAAATAGTTTAAAAAAAGTGTCAGAAAAAAACTAAAAAAAACTTTAACGACCAAGACCAAAAAAATCCAAACAAATTGGAGAGCATTTTTTTTTATATACATAAGTAGCATAAATTTGACCATACATTTGTTTTTAAAAAAATGTCAATTTCTGATTCATTTTAACTTCCTGATTTATTTATAATAAAAATGTATATCAATTATACCACGTTCGGAAAGAAACAAAATTTGACCATTATCTCCATTTTTTTGTAGTTGAATTGACGTGTTTTTTTGCAAACTAAATATTTATTTTATGAATGTAAAAATTGTTTTGCGTTATCATTTTAGCGTATGCAGGTATATAAAAAACACTTTTATCATATAATTTTTTATAATTTATTTTTTTTGTAAACAAAATTATATCAAATATTTTAAATAGTAAATTATTAATATACTATTTAGTACTTTTATTGTCACTTTTTTGTCTTGCATTATGATGTCAGCGTATGCGGGTAAATATTTCGAATACTGTGTTCGTTTTCATCTGTTATTTCAACTTTTCTATGAATTTTTACCTCATATTTTACCTTCTTTTTTACCTCATTTCATTTTATTTTTATTATAACGTTTTTATGAACTCACAATCTTGTTTGTCGTTCCGGGTGGAATCTTGCAACTCAAATTTCGAGCTTTTCCCGATTACCTATCCGGCTGAAACTTTCAGGGTAGCTCACAATTCAATGACAATGCATTATTAATTTACAAGGGGTTGAAAATCCACCCCTAAGGGGGTTAAAATGGGGTCGATTTCTTGTCCGTTGTTCCGGGTGAAATCTTGCAATTCAAAATGACTTATTTCTCACTCGCCAGCTAAAAATTATGCGTGGTGCGTTTGGGCGTGAACGGTGCTCAGATATGAGCGGTACCAGGTTCAAACCCGTTCCCATCATACACTTTTTTGCATTTTCTTACAACTTTTATGATAATTTATACAGAAATAAATCTAAAATTATAAGCTTTTAAATTAAAATATTTACATATATATATATATATATATATATATATTCATTATATAACATTGTACATTTAAATATATAGATACGTACATACGAAAACGAAAAAGAACAAAATAACTAAAGAAGATCAAAAAATTAATCTAAAAATAACGTTTTTATGTGCCTTAAAAAGTATAAAATACTAGACGTGTGAAGTAGTAAAGATGCACCCCACGCTTTTCTATTTCATCTGTCCTATTAGGTTATCAAGACCGCCGGAGGGTTATTTTATAGTTAGTTTATTGTTAGTTATTTTTAGATTACTTTTTTAATCTTCTTTAGTTATTTTGTTCTTTTTCGTTTTCGTGGTTTACTATTTACTGTAGCATTGTTGATTGACTGTTGTTACTGTAGTATGTACGCACTTAATTCTTGGGCCTTTGAAGTAGAAACTTATGTTGTAGAGAGGATTAGGATAATAGTATTGCCTATTCAGTGTGATCAATACATTTTTGTCAAATAAATCGTAAAACTTAAAAAAAAAAGTAATTATAAGTAAGTAATATACATCTGCTTTTTCAAATTTGCTACAAGCATCTATTAATTAATTTTTTATTCGTGAAAAGCTAAATAGTAAAATATACTTATACCCCTTTATAGACTAAATTATCAGTCAATAACATACAATTTTTTTTTTTTTTTTTGCGTTTTTTTAAGCGTTGTATCTTAATTATTGTTTTATTTCATCGATAAATCTATTCATAGATGATAATATAATGGCTGACGTTACTGAAGATATGTGCGCTGCTGTAGACGATAAGTTTGTCCAAGATATTTTGGAAAACGATTACGGTTTTATTAATGGGCAAGCTCGAAAATTGGATGGTTACGATGACAAGAATTTTCATATTACAGTGAGTACCGAGTAGCATCACAAATGATAACACAGATAACTGTAGTCTACATACGGATTTTAATCCGTCAAATTCATTATCTGGATTTCTGACATTCAGATATTTCTATCATTATAATCATAAATAGAAAAATATATACTATATATACTAGATAGGCAACGATGTGTATACATTTCTTTATTATTTTTTATTAAACTCCTTACCCTTTAGCTCTTGTACACTTCAGTCATGAATAGAAAATTGCTTGCAAAGTATTCATTTAGGTATACCGATAAAACAATTATGTTGTACATTAATTAGTACAGTCATAATTATTTATTGGTAATATACATTATTTTATCAGATATCATTACAACGCCATTGGCAACGTTTTTTTACTATTTTTCTAATCTAAAACTTGAACGTAGAATGCGTTTTACTTGCCTATGATACTTTTTTAAAGTAAAAATAGTTATTATTAAGTAGAAAAATGTCGACACATTAGAGACTATGACCTATTTATTTTTCAACACAATATTCATTCGGTAGGTTGAAAAAAAAAATCGAATACCATAGGTTATATTTAAATTTATAGGTACATATTTGACTAACTTTGCCCATTAAAACTTACTGTCACATCATTTATGAATGACAAATGACAATATAATATGAAAACTAATATGGTCGTCGAAATTATTTTTAACTTGTTCATTTAATATTATAATCCCTAGAACGCAAAAAGTTGTTCTGAAGGAATTAAATTCCCGTCCGAAGGAGTAGTGATAAAGTTTGTCAATTCTGTAGATGCAGCCAATATTTCGTTAATGGAAGCGCAGACAAAACTGATGCAACATTTAAGTACACACTTTTATTTGCTTAACACTACTATTTGAATATGTTATTATTTTTTTTTTTGTATAATTAAATGCTTAGGTGACTCCGAAATTCATTTTCCTACACCAATATTAAACAAAAATGGACAAGGCTATCGAAGTCTGGTTATAAGTAAGCTAATAATATACAACACATTTTATATGTTTGCTTTGTAGTAATGCTAAATGTTGACATTATTATTAAAAAAACGGGTTACAATTAAAACAAAATAACCGTAACCGATTTTTTATTATATGTTTTAAGACGGTAAAACACACGTTGTTCGCATGTGTAAGTATATCGAAGGCATCACACTAGAAAACATTCAATTAGACAACGATTTGGCAGACAATTTCGGATCGTGCGTTGGATATTTGACAAACAAATTTCGAGTATAAATAAATATTCTATACACCTATATTTCATTGTATTGCTAAAACGTGCAAATGTTTTATACTTTTGCAGACTTTCGACCACGAAGGGTTTCACAGACAGGAGCACATTTGGGCTCTGGAAAATGCAGCCGATTTGCTCAAGTTTATTGATGTTTTCGACGAACAAAACCAAAGAGACATGATTGAAAACGTTCTAAATAAATTCCAAAGCTCAGTGCTCTCCCATAAGGACCTGTTGGAAAAAAGTATAAAAAACGTGTACATTTTGTATAAAACGCCCTCAGAAGATGTTTAAAGGGGTGTTGACTATTTTTTTATTTTTTATTTTCCGAGCAGAGTTTTAGGACATATGGTCTGGCAATATAGACTGAAGGTAGATTAAGGTATATAGAGTGAGATTATCATGTAACATCAAGGTTTTTTTTTTTAAATATGTAGTCATACTTTTTTGTTAATTTCTAGATTGCCATGTGTGAGTGAACAGTTATTTGAAAATATTTTAATTTTTTTTTGTCGATTTCGTTATATATTGCTCTATTATAGGCAGGCGGTGGCTACAGTAGTTTTAATGTGTTGCAAAAAGTAGGACTAAAGTCAGTCTGCCAAGATAGAAGAAAATAATTATCGTTCAATATATCGTGGTGATAAGATACCAATGATAACAGTATTTTGAAACAATATTGTTTTTAAATTCGATAAAATATATTAAATTTATTATTATTAATTTGTATATAAGTTATATAAGTTTTAGCTATTTATTTGTAATAATTAACAACAATGCCTAGTTGTTTTATTTGTTGGACAATAAAGAGTTTTTTTTCCTTTATGTGGTCATACTGGTTTTAGTCCTACTTTTTACTTCACTCCTGCATACAAGCTAGTATATGTTAGTTTATCTCTTTATATTATTACTCTATGATTATAGGCAAATTAATAATCATAGATAGGTAGACGATTTTGTCGTTAATCCTAATTTTTCTAAATATTAATTTTAACAATTATCAGTACAGCTATGGCCTATATTTGAGAGAGTAGGTATAGTATATAGTCTTACCGTTGCTTTGTTTTAGGTATCATTCACGGTGACCTTAGCTTCAACAACATTATCGTGAAAGACAAAAAAATAAGAGGAGTCATCGATTTTGGCGACGTGGTATGGTCTCTCACGTTTTTCGAATTGGCCGTTTCGTTGTGTTATTTGATAATGCAAGAGTTTAAAAACGACAACCCGAGCCTATCGAATGTGGCTATTCGGCCTTTTATAAAAGCTTACCAACGGCATAGGTCCCTCAGCGATTTGGAACTGTCGCTGTTACACGTGTGTACAATTTTTATATACACCAAAAACAGTTTGTGTCGATAAAAACTAAAAAGTTTCATTTACTTTGACACATAGACGAGCGTGTGTGCCAGAATATGCCAGAGTCTGGTGTTGGGAAAGAAAACAAGCCTAAGAGATTTGACCAACCTGTACGTGCTGTCGACCCAAAACAACGGATGGAAAGCACTGACAAGTTTATTAGACATCAGCGAAGAACAGTTCGCCGAACTCGTCTTACTAGAATGATTGCTCGTGTAAACTTTTCATGCTTGTAATAATACAAATTTTGTATTGCCCATCATATACGTATATAATACCTATACTTTTAAGGAACGCACTTGATTTTTTCATCTATAATATATTTTTCTATTATATTATTTATTATATTACCGATATTTTGTATACAACGTTTTCTTTGTATCAATAATTTTTGTTATACAGTTAAGTATACATAGGATAAATATTGTGCAATTACTAAAAATATAATTAATCGCGTATTGTATTTTTTTTTAAAAATAATTATATGGTCTTGTGAATTATGTTAGTTTTTATTAAATTTTTCTCTTTTTTTTAGAGCTTGATAAATTATTATCATGTTAGGTTTTAAAAAGAAAATGTATTAGTTGGATTCGTTATGTATAAAGGTGTTGGATAATACCATTTATAAATTCATCTATAATTATTATATAATTAGGATTCTAAAACGCAAGAAAACGAATAGTTCTTACATTTAAGTAAACAAATAATAAAACGTAATACTTTGAAAAACAACTTGTTTTCGAAAAAAAAAATAATAGTTTTTTATTAGTAGTTTTTTTAATGTATAATATTAAAACATAAAAATGTATGATACCTACAGTGGCAACAGATGTTGTAAAAAACAACATGTTTTCGATAAGGAAAAATAAAACTATACAAATAATGATAAAATACTGTACATTATAATGAAAGAAAATAAATCTGTGTTCTGATTAAACATAAGATAGTAATCAAATTTTAAACGTAAGTTGAATGCATAAATATTAATGATTAAGTATATAAAAGCACTATATTTATATGACTAAATATAGCATACATTGTATTAGTATGTTACATTGTAATAATATTATATGCATATTAAAATAATTTTAATGAAAACTTGTTTTCGACCAAAAACCTATCTATACATTTTTTTTGTAAAATATGACCGGTTTCAATGTGGTAAATTTTAAAGATTTTTCATTTTTTTACATTGCCACAGTGATTTCAGTAAAATGGTTTAAATACTTAAATACACAAACGACAAAACATAATATGAATCAAATTGTTTGTGCTAAAGAGCAATAATAAAGTTGAATCTTTATAGTATCCACAAACATTTGTTTACATTGCAACAGTTGTTACTTGTTTTGAAATATTCGAATTCATTCAATTTTGTTTCGCTCTAAAAAGCTTCTTATGTAGCCAAATCTATTAAAGGAGAGAAAAAATTGCTTTGTAATAATATTATAAAAATTTAAAAAATTGTTTTAAAAAGAACTTAGGTCTTATAAGAAATAGGTCAAACTTTTAAATACAAAAACAACTGCAAAACAAAATATGTTAAGAAAAACACCTCGTTTTCGATAAAAAAAAAGACCATAGTTTTTATAGAACACGAAAATTCTTATTATATTCAAAGTTTGTGATACCCATAGGAACTTACCATTTGTTTACATTACAACAGTCGCTGAGAAAACAGCTTGGATTTCATAAACAATTATAGAATATTGGATTACAATTTACACGATAAATGATTTAAAAAAAAATTCCTTGTAATGAGTTATAATAATAAAACATTTTTTATTTAGATATAAGATAATAACTAATAAGGGAATCTAAATGTATGAACACAATAATTATAAAAAGTGTAAATTAGAATACAAGATATCCATAAGGCTGTAATTTGGATTAGACTGCATCATTTTTAAAGATTCGAATATTCGAATAGTTGTAATGTACGCTTCATTAGTAAAAATGTAGATACTGAAGTCTGCCTGTTACTGCGGAAAATATGTAAAAAAATTAAAAATTAAAAATTAAATAAAAAATTGTGAAAGCACAGTTTAAATCTTAAAACTGAAAAAATATGTGAAGTTAAAATTAAAAAATTTGTACAGCAAACGAATATACACAATAAAATAAATAAATATGTCAGCAGAAATTCATATTTATTTGATAAATAAGGAATTTAATTCTTTAATGTCTTGGTTTATAATCAACGTCTATTTTGTTTATAATTTAAGCAATTACAAAACAAGTTAACACATTTTTTTTTAGAACGTAATACGATTTTTGTTTCTTAAAGAATAGGAGGATATCACAATCTTTTACATATAATTAAGTAATAACGGATATTTCTTTGTCAAACAATATGTTAAAACAACAAGGCAATATCAATAAATTGAATTATTTCGGACTTTTAATAGTTTTTGTTTATAATTTGTAGTCCTTTATGGTGCTAAATTATTTGTAGGTTTCGAATTTAACTGTTTCAGTGTAACCTATACATTTTACAACAATAGTGTGAAAAATATTATTCACTTTGATGCAAAACTTCAATAAATAAGTTGCTAAAACAGTAAAAAATGTTTGGCTGTATTAAACTAGGTTAGGTATAGAACCAAAAACAATTGTGTTTTGCTTACACGTTTTATTCGTAACAATAGTACACGAAATGTTATTATCAAACAATGAACACACAATAGCACTTCATAAACAATGAACAATGTATACTCCCCCCAACTACCAAATAAGACATACATTTTCAAATTTTATGCATCACATATTCTTCTATATAACATAAGCAGCAAGCGTACTGTTGCTCTAGTATAGTATTCTACATCTTTGGTATACTTTACTTAAACTGTAAATCCAATAGTTCATATTTCATTTGGCGTTTTAAATTTTGTACCTTTAGTATACCATTTAATAATATCGACTTGAAAAATGAAGTTAAATAGCATATATTTGTTTTTAACAACATTGTTTTGCGTTATAATTTTAGCGTATGCAGGTATATAAAAAACATGTTTAGTATATCATTTTTTATAATTTTTTTTTTTTGTATACAAAATTATATTAAATATTTCAAATAGTATATTATTAATATACTATTTAGTATATTAACTACCTGAAAAATTAACTTCAAAAGTATAACTTTTATTGTCACTTTTTTGTCTTGCATTATGATGTCAGCGTATGCGGGTAAATATTTCGATATATTATTGTGGTCGTTTTCATCTGTTATTTCAACTTTTCTATGAATTTTACCTCATATTTTACCTTTTTTTTACCTCAATTCATTTTATTTTTCTAAGCGTTTTTATGGAGATCCTAATTTGAAACTATGCACACATTGTGTAGAATTTTCTCAGCTTTCTGAATAAAAATATTAGAAAAATCCTCAATATTCGGGTAATACGAAAAATACAACTTTTGTATTATAAACTAAATTTTAACGACTTTCCGATACGCGAAAAAAAAATTAACATTGTTTTCAGAAAGCTGATATTGTTTTACATTAAAATCTGAGTTGTAATAACTTTTTTTTTAATGGCCGAAGATACTATAAAAAAATGATGAAAACTAAATATACTTTAACGACCAAGACCAAAATAATCCAAAAAAAAAATTAATGAACATTATTTTTTTTAAATACATAATTAGCATAAATTCATATTGTATATATACCTACCATATTTTAACTATACATTTGTTTCTAAAGAAATGCCAATTTCTGATTCATCATAACCTTCCGATTTATCTCATATGAAAATTTATATCAATTACAACACACGAAAGCAAACAAAAATTGACAATTTTCTGCATTTTTTGTAGTTGAATTGACGTGTATTTTTTGCAAACTTTATATTTATTTTATGAATGTAGAAAAATATCTACCTAAAAATCCTTTCAAAACGAATATATCACACCCCCGCTTAAAAAGTGACACAAATGAAAAAAATGCAATTTTCTAATAGAGTTATTAAAAAACTACAACATAATGTAATACCAAAAGTGACGTGCACCATCTATTGGTGAAAAATAATGATAGACTTATGACGTTCTTACGCAATAATGATATGATATTTATTTAAAATATATGCTATATCAACCTCGAATATCATGTTTTTTGTGTTGTGTCACTTTTTAAGCGGGGGTGCGATAAATTTAAATAACTGTGTACTTAGCCCTAGAACAATGAGCCATATGACGCATTGGGGTAGGAAAAATATTTAAATAATTTTGTTTTCGATATTTCAGCTCCTGGCCTTGACAGTAAGTCTTTGACACTGCTACAACTTATATAAATTTAAAAAGTGAAATGAAATATACATTTTTATTATTTGTGTTTCAAATGATTGTAAGTTGGAAGGAAATATCAATTTTTGTGCTTTGCAAAGATACTAGCAGTCTTAAAAATATTTTCAATAAAGCTAAAAATGTGTATAAAAAGTTTAAAAAAAGTGTCAGAAAAAAACTAAAAAAAACTTTAACGACCAAGACCAAAAAAGTCCAAACAAATTAGAGTGCATTTTTTTTTTTTTTTATACATAAGTAGCATAAATTTGACCATACATTTGTTTTTAAAAAAATGTCAATTTCTGATTCATTATAACTTTGTGATTTATTTATTATAAAAATGTATATCAATTAGACCACGTTCAAAAACAAACAAAAATTGACCATTATCTCCATTTTTTTGTAGTTGAATTGACGTGTTTTTAACGTCAATTCAATAATATTTTCGAAATATTTTTTTTATGAATGTAGAAAAATATTTACCTAAAAATCCATTTAAAACGAATACATATTAAAACAATTGTGTACATAGCCTTAGAACAATACCTATACCTATATGATGCATTGGGAAAAATCAAATATTCTTTTCGTTATTTCAGCACATCCTGATCGTCACCAACCAGCCGGTAAGTTTTTGAGACTTTAATATAACATATATAGGTTATAAAAGTGTAGTTCAATATATATTTTTATCATTTGTTTTTCAAATGACTGTAAGTTGGATGATAATATCAGTTTTTGTGCTTTGCAAAGATACTAACAGTTTTAAAATTATTTTCAAAAAAGCTGAAAATGTGTATAAAATGTTACTAATGTATTACATTGTTGATAATAAAAATACATTTATCATGTCCAAAAGCATATAATTATATAAAGTTAAAATATTGTTTAAAAAATATAATTTGTAGCTAACAAATTTAAAC